CAGAGAGACTACTGCACGGGAGAGACTGCACGAGAGAGACACGAGAGAGACACTGCACGAGAGAGAGACTGCACGAGAGAGAGACTACACGAGAGAGAGAGACTACATGAGAGAGCAAGAGAGATTGCACGAGAGAGCAAGAGAGACTGCACGAGAGAGAGACTACACAAGAGAGAGACTACACAAGAGAGAGACTACACAAGAGAGAGACTACACAAGAGAGAGACTACACAAGAGAGAGACTGCACGAGAGAGCAGGAGAGACTGCACGAGAGAGAGACTACACAAGAGAGATACTACTCGAGAGAGAGACTGCAAGAGAGAGCAAGAGAGACTGCACGAGAGAGAGACTACACAAGAGAGAGAGACTGCACGAGAGAGACTACACAAGACTACATGAGAGAGCAAGAGAGATTGCACGAGAGAGCAAGAGAGACTGCACGAGAGAGAGACTACACAAGAGAGAGACTACACAAGAGAGAGACTACACAAGAGAGAGACTGCACGAGAGAGCAGGAGAGACTGCACGAGAGAGAGACTACACAAGAGAGATACTACTCGAGAGAGAGACTGCAAGAGAGAGCAAGAGAGACTGCACGAGAGAGAGACTACACAAGAGAGAGACTGCACGAGAGAGCAAGAGAGAGAGAGAGACTGCAAGAGAGAGACTGCACGAGAGAACAGGAGACAGAGAGACTGCAAGAGAGACTGCACGAGAGAGAGACTACACAAGAGAGAGACTGCACGAGAGAGCAAGAGAGAGAGAGAGAGAGACTGCACGAGAGAGCAAGAGAGAGAGAGACTGCACGAGAGAGCAAGAGAGAGAGAGACTGCACGAGTCTGATAGTGAGTGAGAAAGGAAGAGTGTACAGAGGGGAATATAGGTGAAGGAAGGTCAGGGTACAGAGAGGTAAGGAGAGAAGGAAGGTCAGGGTACAGAGGGGTAAGGAGCGAAGGAAGGTCAGGGTACAGAGGGGTAAGGAGCGAAGGAAGGTCAGGGTACAGAGGGGTAAGGAGCGAAGGAAGGTCAGGGTACAGAGGGGTAAGGAGCGAAGGAAGGTCAGGGTACAGAGGGGTAAGGAGCGAAGGAAGGTCAGGGTACAGAGGGGTAAGGAGCGAAGGAAGGTCAGGGTACAGAGGGGTAAGGAGCGAAGGAAGGTCAGGGTACAGAGGGGTAAGGAGCGAAGGAAGGTCAGGGTACAGAGGGGTAAGGAGCGAAGGAAGGTCAGGGTACAGAGGGGTAAGGAGCGAAGGAAGGTCAGGGTACAGAGGGGTAAGGAGCGAAGGAAGGTCAGGGTACAGAGGGGTAAGGAGCGAAGGAAGGTCAGGGTACAGAGGGGTAAGGAGCGAAGGAAGGTCAGGGTACAGAGGGGTAAGGAGCGAAGGAAGGTCAGGGTACAGAGGGGTAAGGAGCGAAGGAAGGTCAGGGTACAGAGGGGTAAGGAGCGAAGGAAGGTCAGGGTACAGAGGGGTAAGGAGCGAAGGAAGGTCAGGGTACAGAGGGGTAAGGAGCGAAGGAAGGTCAGGGTACAGAGGGGTAAGGAGCGAAGGAAGGTCAGGGTACAGAGGGGTAAGGAGCGAAGGAAGGTCAGGGTACAGAGGGGTAAGGAGCGAAGGAAGGTCAGGGTACAGAGGGGTAAGGAGCGAAGGAAGGTCAGGGTACAGAGGGGTAAGGAGCGAAGGAAGGTCAGGGTACAGAGGGGTAAGGAGCGAAGGAAGGTCAGGGTACAGAGGGGTAAGGAGCGAAGGAAGGTCAGGGTACAGAGGGGTAAGGAGCGAAGGAAGGTCAGGGTACAGAGGGGTAAGGAGCGAAGGAAGGTCAGGGTACAGAGGGGTAAGGAGCGAAGGAAGGTCAGGGTACAGAGGGGTAAGGAGCGAAGGAAGGTCAGGGTACAGAGGGGTAAGGAGCGAAGGAAGGTCAGGGTACAGAGGGGTAAGGAGCGAAGGAAGGTCAGGGTACAGAGGGGTAAGGAGCGAAGGAAGGTCAGGGTACAGAGGGGTAAGGAGCGAAGGAAGGTCAGGGTACAGAGGGGTAAGGAGCGAAGGAAGGTCAGGGTACAGAGGGGTAAGGAGCGAAGGAAGGTCAGGGTACAGAGGGGTAAGGAGCGAAGGAAGGTCAGGGTACAGAGGGGTAAGGAGCGAAGGAAGGTCAGGGTACAGAGGGGTAAGGAGCGAAGGAAGGTCAGGGTACAGAGGGGTAAGGAGCGAAGGAAGGTCAGGGTACAGAGGGGTAAGGAGCGAAGGAAGGTCAGGGTACAGAGGGGTAAGGAGCGAAGGAAGGTCAGGGTACAGAGGGGTAAGGAGCGAAGGAAGGTCAGGGTACAGAGGGGTAAGGAGCGAAGGAAGGTCAGGGTACAGAGGGGTAAGGAGCGAAGGAAGGTCAGGGTACAGAGGGGTAAGGAGCGAAGGAAGGTCAGGGTACAGAGGGGTAAGGAGCGAAGGAAGGTCAGGGTACAGAGGGGTAAGGAGCGAAGGAAGGTCAGGGTACAGAGGGGTAAGGAGCGAAGGAAGGTCAGGGTACAGAGGGGTAAGGAGCGAAGGAAGGTCAGGGTACAGAGGGGTAAGGAGCGAAGGAAGGTCAGGGTACAGAGGGGTAAGGAGCGAAGGAAGGTCAGGGTACAGAGGGGTAAGGAGCGAAGGAAGGTCAGGGTACAGAGGGGTAAGGAGCGAAGGAAGGTCAGGGTACAGAGGGGTAAGGAGCGAAGGAAGGTCAGGGTACAGAGGGGTAAGGAGCGAAGGAAGGTCAGGGTACAGAGGGGTAAGGAGCGAAGGAAGGTCAGGGTACAGAGGGGTAAGGAGCGAAGGAAGGTCAGGGTACAGAGGGGTAAGGAGCGAAGGAAGGTCAGGGTACAGAGGGGTAAGGAGCGAAGGAAGGTCAGGGTACAGAGGGGTAAGGAGCGAAGGAAGGTCAGGGTACAGAGGGGTAAGGAGCGAAGGAAGGTCAGGGTACAGAGGGGTAAGGAGCGAAGGAAGGTCAGGGTACAGAGGGGTAAGGAGCGAAGGAAGGTCAGGGTACAGAGGGGTAAGGAGCGAAGGAAGGTCAGGGTACAGAGGGGTAAGGAGCGAAGGAAGGTCAGGGTACAGAGGGGTAAGGAGCGAAGGAAGGTCAGGGTACAGAGGGGTAAGGAGCGAAGGAAGGTCAGGGTACAGAGGGGTAAGGAGCGAAGGAAGGTCAGGGTACAGAGGGGTAAGGAGCGAAGGAAGGTCAGGGTACAGAGGGGTAAGGAGCGAAGGAAGGTCAGGGTACAGAGGGGTAAGGAGCGAAGGAAGGTCAGGGTACAGAGGGGTAAGGAGCGAAGGAAGGTCAGGGTACAGAGGGGTAAGGAGCGAAGGAAGGTCAGGGTACAGAGGGGTAAGGAGCGAAGGAAGGTCAGGGTACAGAGGGGTAAGGAGCGAAGGAAGGTCAGGGTACAGAGGGGTAAGGAGCGAAGGAAGGTCAGGGTACAGAGGGGTAAGGAGCGAAGGAAGGTCAGGGTACAGAGGGGTAAGGAGCGAAGGAAGGTCAGGGTACAGAGGGGTAAGGAGCGAAGGAAGGTCAGGGTACAGAGGGGTAAGGAGCGAAGGAAGGTCAGGGTACAGAGGGGTAAGGAGCGAAGGAAGGTCAGGGTACAGAGGGGTAAGGAGCGAAGGAAGGTCAGGGTACAGAGGGGTAAGGAGCGAAGGAAGGTCAGGGTACAGAGGGGTAAGGAGCGAAGGAAGGTCAGGGTACAGAGGGGTAAGGAGCGAAGGAAGGTCAGGGTACAGAGGGGTAAGGAGCGAAGGAAGGTCAGGGTACAGAGGGGTAAGGAGCGAAGGAAGGTCAGGGTACAGAGGGGTAAGGAGCGAAGGAAGGTCAGGGTACAGAGGGGTAAGGAGCGAAGGAAGGTCAGGGTACAGAGGGGTAAGGAGCGAAGGAAGGTCAGGGTACAGAGGGGTAAGGAGCGAAGGAAGGTCAGGGTACAGAGGGGTAAGGAGCGAAGGAAGGTCAGGGTACAGAGGGGTAAGGAGCGAAGGAAGGTCAGGGTACAGAGGGGTAAGGAGCGAAGGAAGGTCAGGGTACAGAGGGGTAAGGAGCGAAGGAAGGTCAGGGTACAGAGGGGTAAGGAGCGAAGGAAGGTCAGGGTACAGAGGGGTAAGGAGCGAAGGAAGGTCAGGGTACAGAGGGGTAAGGAGCGAAGGAAGGTCAGGGTACAGAGGGGTAAGGAGCGAAGGAAGGTCAGGGTACAGAGGGGTAAGGAGCGAAGGAAGGTCAGGGTACAGAGGGGTAAGGAGCGAAGGAAGGTCAGGGTACAGAGGGGTAAGGAGCGAAGGAAGGTCAGGGTACAGAGGGGTAAGGAGCGAAGGAAGGTCAGGGTACAGAGGGGTAAGGAGTGAAGGAAGGGCAGGGTACAGAGAGGTAAGGAGTGAAGGAAGGTCAGGGTTCATATGGGGGGTGGGGGGATATGGGGGTCTGGGTTGTATGGAGGAGTACAGAAAGATGGAGTCGGCTACAATGTGATAAGCTTTTGGGGACAGATCAGGGTTCAGAGGGGTATTAGGGGGATGGATAGAAGGACAGGACTTTGAGGGGGGACAGACAAAGATGGGT